CAAGTAGAATGATTATGTTTAAACAATATGTCTCCTGCTTGGAAAGTTGGTTCGTTTCGACAGAAACCTTTTTGTACGCTTTTAAATCTACCATTCGTCTGTGATTTAAATATTGCTTCCATATCTGGTGTTTCCAATATATATACCACTACCTTAGTGACAAAATTCAAAAAAGGCTTTGTAATGTCTTCGGTCCAGAACAGGCATCTTGTCTTCAGTCGTTTGCCCACCGACATGACGTGGCTTCCCTCTGTCTTTTCTGTAAATATTCCCTGGTAATTGTCCTAATGAGCTCTTTTCTTTGGCACGTCTACGGCATTAATTTAAGCCTACAAAAAGGGAAACAACTTCTCATTGTTTTACGGTTGAAATATCGAGATTTGACTGTAAGCTGTGTTCTAATATTCTGTTTATTTGTACTTTTGAACTGTTTTCGGTTTTCTTGCTTCCCTGCACAAAGCTTATAATTATTTGCACATTCGGTTAACACACCCCTTTCCCACCCGTTTTTATTTATTATGAAAGTTGATTTCTAGCATGTGTAAATTTATTGTAGACATTTGTATCAGATTTTAAGTTAATGTCTGATGCTGTCTGATGTCAAATCTTGGCCATGACACATTTCTAAGATAATAATTTCTATTTTTTCTTTTTTCGCTTACTTTGAATTTAACCCAGGTCATATTTAATTGGTTGATCAGGATAAAGCCATCAAGCCTTATTATATATATATATATATATATATATATATATATATATATATATATATATTTTCAAAAAATAAGGATGAATTTTGCTTTGGAAACAAAAATCAATCATTCACTCGCCAGTATTTTTTACAATCGCATGCGAAGACGCATCGTTATGCATAGTATCACGATTGCAATTGTGTAGCAATTCTTACATGTTTTTTGTTGTAATATCCGAATATATATATATATATATATATATATATATATATATATATATATATATATATATATATATTGGGTGCGATGGATAAATTATCGTCTAAAATACGCAAAAAATAGTAATAACAGTGACATCTCATTTGAAATGATGCGTTTACCAAAATTACACGAAGTTATCTTGAAATACTAAAAAGTAAATATATTCACTTAAGTTGCTATTGGTTTCAACCATGGCCTCCAGGCAAAGTCGGAATCACCTGCAACTTTTCTGGACAGCCTCCTTGTTTAAGTTGGTGAATGCTGCTACAAACCCTGCCATCAGTTCATCTTTGATGATATAAGGCGTTTTGTTGGTCTCTCGATCAACAGCGCCCCACACATAATAACCAAGGGGTTTGAGTTGGGGAGATAGGTGGCGAGATATAAGGGGTTATCGGCTCACAGAAATTGTCTGACAGATGCTTGGGTTCCTCTGCTTGTGTAGCATGGTATAGAGTCCTGTTACCAGATGTCTAGTCTTCCAGCAGCTCAACCCTCGACCCAGGACAGCACTATCACGTCAAGGCACTCATGCAGGCCTTCTTGTTGACACTGTGTCACGCGCAAACAAATTCGAGAATTCTTTTCTTATCAAACCGATCTGAGTGAGTTTTCGTAGTCACCATTAGACTCATCCAAATCCTTCCGAATCCTCGACACTGTCTTCAGATTTAAACCCAAATACACTTTAGTCTCGAATGCCAAGCAGTATACAATGCGCTTTTTTTCTCATAAACAGTGCCAAACAGACCTTACTAAATTTTGCAATCGACAAAATAAAAAAAAAATGTGCGAAATTAGATATATAAAATGGCAATAATTTACCCATCGCAGTCTGCATATATATATGTGTGCGTGTAGATAGATAAATATATACTAACATGATTGATTAACAAGAAACATCGAAGTCTGTTTAACTTTTATTGAATTTTTACAATTTCCTCTTAAATGTTGGCTGAGATTCATGTTTTGTTGCCTCGACGTTTTTTTTCTAATCAATCTTGCTTGGATGAATACTTTTCTAATATACCTAATCTATCTATGTATCTATCTCTCTCTCTCTCTCTCTCTATATATATATATATATATATATATATATATATATATATATATATATATATATATATATATATATATACATGAATACAGTTTTAAATTGTGGTATACTTATGGCATAATGTGCTCAGTGTCATAGATAAAGAGTATATAAATACAAATATAAAAGCGGAACATTGAAGTCAACGCTCAGAGCCAACAGGATGTTTCATGCTAGACTCAATCATCCAATCGCAAGTGTTGGATTTTTTCGACTTTCTCTTCGAGAAAAATCCAGCACTCGCGGCCTAATGGTTGAGTCTAGCATGAAACACCATGTCGTCTCTGAGTGTTGACATCCGTGTTCACACACACAGACACACACACACACACACACACACACACACACACATATATATATATATATATATATATATATTAGTTGTATATGTGCAAATTTGTTAGCTCTAGCACCGATAATGAGCACTTTCCAATAAGTAATATAATATAATATATAATATATATAGAAAATTATATAGAGAAATATATATATATATATATATATATATATATATATATATATATAACAAGACTTATCCAAACAGATAACTTTTTATCTGTTTGGATAAGTCTTGTTATCTGTTTGGATAAGTCTTGTTCTTATGTACATCGTCTTTGTCATGTTGTATTGATAATGTTATAATTTATGAATATGTCCTGAAGATGGTTTATTAGACCGAAACGTCCGACGTTGACATATTAACATTAAAACAGCATAATTGTATATAAGGATTTTTGTTTGTTTTTTTCCGTATATATTTTTTTCATATATTATATATATATATATATATATATATATATATATATATATATATATATATATATACACATACACACACACACATATATCTCTATCTATAAAAGGCAGGATGAGAGTGTGCGTGTGTGTGTGTATGTGTCTGTGTGTGTGTCTGTGTATGTGTGTAACGAATGCACGGCCGCAATTTTCGAAGGATTTCCATCAAAATTTGCATGCACATGCTCCAAGTGAGTGGAAAGGTTAAGACCGACTTTGCCTTTCCCAACTCCCATCGATAGTGGAAATAATCGATTTTTTCTTGCTTCTACATCAGTTTTCATGTAGTTTGCGGCCATTTTCTACTGGCCAGAATGAGAGCCCATAGCTGGCTGCCACGAATAGGCAGGAAGATTCTGTTGGCTAACGTGAGAGCCAACAGCTGACTGACACGAATGTTAACTAGCATACAAAAAAATCGATAGCTGCATTCGTCAGAAGTGGGAAAATTTAAATCTGCATGGCACTTTACTCCAATTGGTTCATTCGCTTGATTAAACTCAACGTTGATTCTGATTCCGCAGAACTGGGTTGGGTGTGGAAAAGTATTTGTTGTTAACATTCTTTTTTCATTTGGTTTTTCTAGTTACGAGTTCTTTTTGAAGCTGATCGTTTTGTGTTCATTTTGTTTCGTTCTTTTTTTCGTAACAGATTTAATGTTTAGTATAGAGCTTAAAAAAAATTCGCAGTGTGAGATAGGCAAGAAGTAAGGCATGTAGCAACATCAGCACGGCAAAGGGCACTACTTTAAAGGCAAGGAAGGGCAAAATATTTTAAGTCAAGTGATAGTGATTGCTGTATGTGTCATACGATTTTTGAATCAAGCCCGGGCAACTCCGGGCCATCCTGCTAGTATACATATATACATACATACCTACTACCTACTATATATATATATATATATATATATATATATATATATATATATATATATATGTGTGTGTGTGTGTGTGTGTGTGTGTGTACATACATACATACATACATATATATATATATATATATATATATATATATATATATAGAGAGAGAGAGAGAGAGGGAGGGCCGGGAGAGAGAAAGAGAGAGATAGAGTAAGAAAGAAACAAGTAACAATGAAAGATGAGTTAGTATCTGCCAAATGTTAAGCAAGATAAGTTGATTCTATTGGTTTACTCTCTTTCTGCGACACATACAATTGATCCTTTCAATTTTAGGCTGCTTTTCTAACCATATAGCTATTCAACCCATGTCAACCGGGGAAGTTAATGACAGTTACTCAATCATCTGTCAATACCAAGGGCTGATGTTAAGCACCCCTTTTCAATGGAAATATTACAGTGATCTCTATTTTACTTTCGCTCTCTCTAAATCGCTCTCTCTATTCCCCAATCTCTGAGAAGACGGGAACTCAAGCTACTTAAAAGACAATCCCGGATACACTTAATGGTTCAGCTAAATCCTAGGACCTGCAAATCCTGTAGCCCGGCTATTTCGGCCTCTTAACCAAAGGGATTATCGCTCGTCTGGGTTTTGTTCGGATTCATCTAATTTAGAAGAATTCCTTGACCGGCTTGCTTGGTAATTTTCCCTTAGTTATATAATAATGTACAAAGTCTATACAAAACGTGTCGACAGATGCTTTATACCGCTTAAATTTAGAATATGGGAGATAGTTGAATATTCAAAAATAAAACCTTAAATGTTCTTTGTAATTATATTAACCGCTACGAGCAAGACTATTTAAATAAAATTTATATGTAGCCTTAATATTGAAATTAGTGAGATAGCGAAAATATTAAAACGGATTTTTTACTTTGTCCTGATGTTTACTATTTGGACAAAGAATATGCAAAAAGCGTTGATCAGTTCTTCTGTCTGACAGTCTTTTCTTGGAGAAGGAGATTGATTTCTTGAAGAACCCCTCGTATCGGCCACAGTGAATCTAACAGCACAGTATGTTTCAATAACATTTTGTAAAGAATTCGCAACTTTTTATTTTCGTATCCAAAAGGGGAAAAATATTTTTTAAGATATTGATGAATTTCTAAGATATATATATTTTTTTTTAACGATTTCTACATTCCTAAAAAGTATAATTGAATCTTGCTGGACTGTGACGCCCTCTGAGACCGAGCGGACTCGATCACGGAGTTATAAACTAACCTTTAACATTTTGAAAGATTAAACTTACAATATTTCTACCCACATCCATCTATCTATCTATCTATCTAAGTCCGTTCATATCTATCTGTCTGTCTGTCTGTCTATCTATCAATCTATCTATCTATCTAAGTCTGTTCATATATATCTATCTATTTAAGTCCGTTCATATCTATCTGTCGGTCTATCTATCTACCTAAGTCTGTTCATATTTGTCTCAGTCTGTTCATATCTATTTGTCTGTCTATCAAAGTCTGTTCACATCTATCTATCTATCTATCTATCTATCTATCTATCTATCTAATTCTGTTCATATCTATCTATCTATCTATCTATCTATCTATCTATCTATCTATCTATCTCTTCTTGACTTTTAAGATTGGTGCAACAGATGTTTACTTTTATAACGACCAGGCTGTTTCTGAGTTGTAGTTTCCTTACTCAGGCACTTAATCTTCTATCAAACATCATTCCATACCATCGATGAAACACAGCTTATACGGATTCCTGACTTTCTAAAGGGAAAAATGATGCGAAGGTGAATTCGATGTGATATCGTTCAATGTTAACTTCCCGGAGAACAACTGCTGCCTAAGAACAAATTTCGGGATAATACCACAAAATAAGGTAAAATAAATGAGATTTGATTTGCTGCTATAGCTTCTTGTAGCTTAATGATAATGTCCGCTTAGCTTGATTCTTTTTTTTCAGATTGAAAATAGAATAGAGTTTCGATTTCTACCCGTAACCATATTTTCTTTCTTTAGGCTTTGTATCTCTAAGTCTTTGAATTCACTTAATTTGTCCATTTTTGTGAATTGTATTTCGTCACGCAAATACCAAGCCGTGGTAACCACTCGACCGACCAACGGATTCCAAGAGTAGTTGACTTTGCTTAGTTTATCCAATTTTGGGAATAGTAGACATCCCCCACCCCCCATTCGCTAGTGGAACCTCATCCTGTCGTGAGCTCAACCGGTTGACCACCCAGTGTTTTCGGACGACCGTGCGGAATCGAATAGTCGAACTTTGTCCGATTTAGTGAAATGTACCCCGCCAGGCCGTGGCTCCACAGGCCGTGGTGCGCACTCGAGCATCCTGCCGGCCGATCACGCTTAGTCGCTGGCCGATCCGAACGAACATACAAAAGCAAGGAGTATTACTTTCACAATTTATAAACAGGAATGTTTGCTTAAATACCCGCACGCATTAGATATAGCTCTCATAGTAATTACAAATATGTAAAGAGTATTTGTGTACGCGTGTATTTGAATGTACACCCTTGTGCAAATTAATTGAAACAACAGCTTTAGCATCATTTCTTTCAACACACGGTCAGTTTTAGACACACTGGCGTGACAGGGTATAAACGATTTCTATTTTTTTCCTCAGATTAGATCATTTGCAATGATGTGCAGTAATATTAATCTATTTTCGGGGTGCGTGATGAAAATTGTTTGGCCTTGAAAAATATTGCGTCATCCGTGATTGCATCAGATTTTCATCCGTCCTAGACACTATTGTCCCGACTGTCGATTAGTTATCCTACGCCCATTGTGTGCGATGAACTTTACTGAAAGGAAGCGTAATAAAAATATAACGTTGCAGGAACATACTGGTAAGCCTTACCAATAAGCTAATCAAAGTACTTGACTGGACCCAAAAACTCTCCTGATTTAAATCTGTGGTCAATCTGCATAGAACGACTTCGTGGAATGTACATACAAAGTAGTAACATGTACACTGGGTGATGTTTCGATTGTCGATTAGTTATCCTGCGATGGGCGCTACTTCAGGGAAGCGTACGAAAATTGTAACCCTGCAAGAACACACTGCCAAGCCTTAACAATGATCAAATCAAAGTACTATAGACTTACCCGGAAACTCTCTTGGTTTAAATCCAATCGAGAATCAGTGGTCAATCTGCAAAGAACGACTTCGGGGAATGGACACAGGAAGTACTAACATATGCACTGGGTCATGTTTCATTAGAAAAATACAAGGAAAAATGTAAATAATGACGGAATTATTCGTTTTGTTTCAATTAATTTGCACATGGGTGAATGTGTATAAACATTGCATACAAACCACGTTTCTTAAACTATCTGACTGCATGAGTTTTCAGGCATTTCGAAAAATTGGCTTATGTAACGTTGTGCAATATCAAATATTTTGTGTGTGTCAATAAAAATTCGGATGCCATTTTTGTAATGCATCTTGGATTGTTTTTTTTTTTCATATTTTATACAAAACGAATAGAAAATCGTTTTGGTATCGTCATGAATTAGCGACAATTGTCGAAATGCTTATTGAAGAGGAAACAAAACTGGACATTGCCGGTAGTCTTGAGACTGAGCACCGTACGACTGAGAAATTCGTTACGCATCGGGCTACATTTAAATGTTTGAGTTGTTGATACTTGTGTCTTGATCAATGAGAGGAAACACTTTTCATGATTACGCAGGCATGTAATGAACAATAAGATTATGTTTCTGTCGTTGTTTGTCAAAATACAAATAAAATCATTATGCTTTTGAACCGCTTAGAAACATGAAACTAAACGCATCTTGTGACATTCTCAGAAGCCAAAGTCTCTGAGAAAACGTGTTACCTGGGCCGAATATTATGCGAAATTACACTTTAATGTTTGCTATTCACGACCGAAGGCAGAGCGACGGTGGAAGGTACCGACAATAAGAGTAAGGAATGACCCTAGGCCGTGCCGGGTGAGACGTCAACAAAGAAGGCGATGTGTTAATTTTTTTTTTTTTTTGGCAGCATTCGCTAGCATTGAATTGGTTGAATGCACTGATTTCCAAAAGGAGAAACTTCAGATATGTCTCAAGAAGAAGACACGAGCATCCAAATGGAATGTGACATTTATTCACGCAGAAATTATTGAGGGCAGCAAAATTAGGGTTAAAAATGATCCTCTAATGATATGATGTGCGGGATTTTTTTTGCCGACGTGCGAATCCTATCGAAAGAGTTGGAGAATCCTCAACAGAAAATTTAATGCGAATGGCTAGCAAGTTTCATCCATGAATAAACACTAGGATGAAATATCAATATTTTAGTAATCTCTCTTTATTTTAGTAATCTCTCCGTCTTTTGAAATTCGTCAACTTGAATTGAACGATTGGTAGCGGCTAAAGTTACACCTTTTTAATTAATTAACTTTTATTGAGCAAAAATAAATTACAATTGTCACATAAAAGAATATGACTTGCTACGGTGATTTTTGGCCATAGTTTTGATGTAGCAAGAGGCTGAAAGGGTGGGACACCCAGTGAGGATCGCAACTGCTCTTAACGAGTCAAGCTTGATAGTCATTAAACCACGGGTGATGATGATGATGATAATGATGATGATGATACTACTATTGCAGTGACTTGTCTAGCTAAGTATTGATTACTAATATCCTGGCCGATTCTGTCGTGTCACGTGGTGTGTCCTGCCAGACCCCACATCACAACAGTTACGTTGCACGTATAAATGGAAATCTTTTTTTCGCTTTAATCAACCTCCCTTTCGGAGGCGTACTATTCTCTTTCTTAAAGGTAATCTTCTGCATTATCGTTAAGAAAGATATCTTGATAATCCAGAGATCTCATTTTGAAACCAATATATTTTTTTAGCTCTGATTCAACAACTTTTAGATTTCCACGCGATCTTGCTTCTTGGCACGTTTCTTTCAATCTTTCGATCTTTCTTTCTTCATATATATATATATATATATATATATATATATATATATATATATATATATATATATATATATATATACATATATATATATATATATATATATATATATATATATATATATGCATACAAATATGTAGGTATAGATGTCTGTTTAACTTTATATTATAAACATCAATGATTTCCTCCTCCAAGACAATTTGAGACTGCTCCAAAAATTCCCATAGGAATGGCAAGTGAAATAAATTATACTCGGTTTCTTCTACGCCCCCCCTCGGGTCAAAGAATCATCGTGTAAGAAAGAAGAAAAAAAATGATAATGCCAATGTTATGTTTCTAAGCAAAATCAATTGATCGAAATCCCAAATCGTAAATCAAAAAGAGAAAACGCAAAAAGAAATGTCTACAAATATAAAAATATAACAATAAACTTAAAGCGGTCTATAATTATTCGAGCGAAAGAAGATCGCTCGCTATTTGAATATATCGTTGAACGTTTGTCGTTTTTAGAGATGTTATTAAAGATCTTGACGCCACAACGCGTGTCGAAAAAATAACTGAAGAAATGAATAAAAACCGATAAGATGAAATGACTTATAAATTATCAAAAATTGTTATCCTTTCGTTTCCATAAAAATACAGTGAGAGGCCATCATAATTTTCGACGTTTTTCACTTTGGGCCATGTCCAACAGAAATTTGTCCGCGTGTAAATGATAAACAAAAAAGTATTTTTTCGATTAGTGACCGTTGAAATAACCTATTTGAGAAGCCATATTTATTGAAGCATCCACGGCTGAGAACGTTGGCCGAGATTGTTGTAAATGTTCCCTGAAGGAGTTTTTTGACCATTCATCATATTTTAGTGCTATACTGACTGATTTCACGACCGGCATTAATCACATCTTGTCGCGATATGCACTTACAGAAGGACGGAAAAAAGTTCGGCCGAAAATACGTATTATGATAATAATTTGTCTGATATCTGGACACGACACACACCGCGATAATTTTCAATTATTACAAGTAATATTGTAATTGCATACAATTTTTAGTCTGGCTTGGTTTAGTCGTTTCAGTTTAGCGGCATATCAGTTGTAGCGATTGCTATTTTTTCCACGCCCACATTTTATTCGCCTGCGATTGGCTAATAAATCATTACTACATTTATATAGGACAATTCAGCCATCGCAGTCGTTTCTTTAAATCCTTCGGTTTTGAGCTTGCTTGTTTGTTCCGTTAGTAGGAATGTAGTGATTGGTTAATTTTTAACCAATCATATATTTTAGTGCAAGATTAAGTTTGCCCGCGTTGCCTTGGAGACTACACTTTTTCCATAAAAGAGGCGATTTTTTCACAAGTCGTCAGTAAGATCCAATAAAATTCACCTGTCCATATAAGTCCACGATCTTACTCATAACATTTCAATCACAGACACAGACACAGAGTTACGTAATATAAACTTACATTTGTCTCTGTGACTTAGCCAAGCTCAGTCAACCAAGACTCTGATAAATTCGAACCATTCTATAACACAACACATTTCTGATCAATTGTATTCTTGTGTTATCTATTCTAACAACATACATTCTTCTAATATTGATTCCTGAACATTTTTCTCTCACAAGAACCTTCTTCGAACAATCAATTACAAATCCAAAATACAATAAAAA